GCTGGATTAGATTTAGATGAAGGTGGAGTAAGAATTAGTGGAAGAAACATTAACCGTTCGAGATACGCAGATGACACCACATTATTGGCAGACAACAGTGAAGAAATGATTGCTGGTGAAGGTTACAGCAGGAAGTGCCAAATCCAGGATTACAGCTGAATATCAAAAATACAAAAGTCATGACTACTGGGGACTTGTACAAGGTTGATGAAGAAAAAACTGAAAATTGTTCCAAGTTTTCTATTCCTCGGCTCCATCATCAACCAAAGGGAGACTGGACCTGAGAGATCAGAAGGAGACTGAGACCGGGAAGGGCCACCCCTGAAGGAGCTAGAAAAGATCCTGACAGGTCAGGCTGTGCCACTGGCGACGACCAAGACCAAGTTAATCCACACCATGTGTGAAAGTTGGGACAGTGAAGCAATCTGACAGGAAGAGTTTTGGGGACACCGTGGATCGCAAAAAAGACAAACAAGCGGGTTACAGACCAAATCAAGCCACAACTCTCCCCTACGAACTAAAATGACCAAACGGAGGCTATCGTACTTTGGTCACATCGTGCGGAGACAAGAGTCACTGGAAAAGACAAGAATGCTGGGAAAAGTTGAAGGCAGCTGGAAAAGAGGAAGTCCCAGCAGGAGATGGAGAGACTCAATAAAAGAATCCACAAGGGCCCTCAGTCTGCAAGACCTGTGCGAGGCTGGTAACAATAGAACATTTTCAGTGGCAGCTCCACACTGGTGGAATGAGCTCCCGGATAACATCAGGGCCCTGCGGGACCTTTTACAGTTCCACAGGGCCTGTAAAACGTAGCTCCCCCACCAGGCCTTCGATTAGGAGCCACCACTGATGAATGGGCCACCGGAACACGCTATGGCCCGAATGAAACACCGGTGGATACTGCCTCCCTCTATGGGATTGTACAGTGAAGCCGCCATCATCTGCATTGCTCTTGTTAGAATTTTATGATGTTAGGTAGTTGTTTATGTATATTCTATTGTATTTACAGTTTTATTGCTTTTAATGTTTGTTTGCTGCCTTGAGCCGGTTCTCTGGCAAGGCAGGATACAAATTGAAAATAATAAATAAAGAAACAAACATTTTGGAGAATATGAATTCACAGAGTCAGCCGAAGTTGGAAGTGACCTGACGGCACTTTTCACACACACAGAGCCCAACAATCTCACACCGGAGTTCCCTGAGAACGCTTGGGAGTATATGCCATCAGGACCTGGAGACTCGTCAGTTTTTTAATTTTCCCAATAGGTCTAGAACGTTGTCTCTCTTCACCTCAATTTGATCCAGTTCCCACACTTTCCACAGTGAACACAGAAGCCAAAAAGTCATCGAGACTCTTTGCCATCTCCCCACCTTCCTTGGTCATCCAAGGGCTCAACCGCTTTTCTGGCTGGTTTCCTGCTCCTGATATATATATTTTAAAATGTTTATAATTTGTTGTGATGCTTTTAGCAACCCGGTCCTCAAAATCTCTTTTTGCATGCCGGATTATTGACTTGCGTTTCTTTTGCCAGAGCCCGTGGCCCCTCCCTGTTCAATTCACTGGGGCAGACCTTGCAATTTTTTTTAAAGAAGCCCCTTTGCTTTTTATGAGTTCCTTCACTGTCGCTGTTAGCCAAACAGGCATTCTTTTAGACTTCACAGTCCCTTTCTTTACCTGCGGAATGCATTCTACCTGGGCTTCAATTAGTGTGGTTTTAGGTTGGTCACGGCTCTAGACTAGACAGGTTGGGACCAGGAGCCACTCCTTATGTCCTTAAGTAAACCGGTGGAAACTGCAATTAAAAACAGAATTATTAAGCACGCAGAGGGAATGAACTTTACTAGGGAAGAAACAACACGGCTGCTATAAAGGGAAGTCCTGTTACACCCACCTCTTGGGAGTCCTGTCGGCGGATTTATATTAAAATATTTATATGCTATCCTTCTCACCAACAGCGGCAACTACCTGAGGACAAGGGCAATATGACGTTACACGCTTGGACTTCTTTGTTCTTCAGTAAAGGACCTTATATAAATTTAGCAGTCATGGAATAATTGTAGGAGTCTTCACTTCTAGTATGAATGGGAATATAAAGATTTTCATATATGGTTTTTTCTTCTTGATTGTTCATATTCATATTTCTCTGGTTTTTATAAATTTGTTCTGTAAGTAATATTTTATTAGGATGTTAGAAAGGCCTGTTATATAGAAGGCTTTCCTTTTGTAGGTCTGATATTGTTAGCAAGCAACATAATAGGTACAAAGTTCAATGATTCTGTAGTTCTTAGGGCAAACCTTTCAATGTCTGGGTCAGATAAGATTTTAGTCTGATATGAAGAATCTTTGCCCATTATCATTTAGGTTAGGTTAAGTAAACACTTCGTTTGACGTAGATATGTGTTTCTTTATATCTGGCCAATCAGAGGATTATTACTCAAATTACCACTTTCTTTTGTAACCAATTATGCTGTTTGAATATTGTGTTCTTGATGATGTCAGTCCATGTATAAAATATCATGTATTTCCTGAATATGTTCAGAATATGCTCAAGAAGAAGATGAAGAAGAAAAAGAAAGTTGTCAAGTTTTGGTTAACTATTTGGTCTAATTGTTTTCCTATTAATTGAGGCATTTTTCCTGATTATGCTGAGAAGAAAGCAGTCAGTTTTGATGGGTCCTTTGGCCTAACTGTTTCCCATATTTCATTACAATAAAATACAAGGACTTCCTCCTCATTTGACTTCATGTTTGACATGGAATCTAATATGTACAACACTCTTGGACAAGAAACTGTTTTAAATGACAGAAAACATTAGAAGTAAATATACAAAAAGGAGGAAAGAGAGCAGCAGGGTCCCTTAGGGATTGGAATTGGGACTGCAATTTTGTATAACAGAGACTGGAACGATGAATAATGGGGAATTGGTGGTAAGCAGTGAAGCTGCCCAATTTGTAGATGATACCAAAGTATTCAGGATGGCAAAAAATAAAGTCGATAGCACAGAAGTTGGGACACGATCTCTTAAAAGTGAGTGACAATGTGGCAAAGACGGGTCCATGTGAGTGTTCAGTGATACAGAGAAAGTAAAAAAAAAAGAAGCCCTCCAACAATACAGATCTGCTGGTAAAGTCTGACCTGGCCAACACTGACCAGGAAGGAGTTCAATCCCGTGTGTGGCAGCAAAACTCAAGGCAAATTCCATGGCGGTGAGGATCAAGAAAAGCACAGCAAATTAAATGGCTGGTACCTCTAAACCCAGGATGGCTCAGGCTAACCTCACCTTGCCAAATCTCAGGAGCTAAGCAGGGCCAGCCCTGGTTAATATTTGGACGGGAGACCACACCAAGGAAGTCTAGGGTTGCTATGCAGAGGCAGGTGACGGCAAACCCACCTCCGAACGTCTCTTGCCTTGAGAACCCCTTGTGAGAGTCACCATAAATCAGCTGCGATTGGATGGCACTTTCCTTCACAACCACCTGTCGTGCCCTGGTCTGCATCTATGACAGGGCTGCCTTTAACAACACTGTATACAGCTCTGGTTACCCTGCCACAAAAATCATTCCAAGTAATCCTGGAGCTGGAGTACTTTTCTGGTGAATAAAAACTGAAGTATTTGAAGCTCTTAAGTTTAGCAACAAGAGGACTAAAGAATAACACGGTTTCTATAATTATGCACTGGGTGAAAGAAATAAGAGAAAACCAAAACTCTAGACATCAATGATGGGACGACAGCCAAAAGACAATATTTCGGTAGTTAGCTTTTCAAATTGACCAGTGCAGGGTGCCGCGAATATTTTTTTCAGCAGGCCTCAGAAGGAAGTCAGGCAAGATTAGAGAGGTGAAGGCCTGTAAAAAAACCTTTTTTTTCTTTTTTTTCCCCTGAAGCCTTCCCCCTCTGAAAAATTGGAAAAATTGAAAAAAGAAAAGAAATTGATTATGGAATGTTTTATTTTAACAGGATGAATAAAATATTTAAAGCCAAGGTGTTCAAATATTTTCTAAATCATTTCTAAAAAAATATGTATGGTATCAGACTGATCTAATTTCTGTGCACTGAGGACAAGCAAGTCCTAGGTTACAAACTGAACGCTCCAATGCAAGAACAAGATGCATTTCTTCCTTTAGGAGGTGCTATTGTCACAAGAAAAGAAAAAGGTTTCAGTTTTGTGTTTTTGCATGTGGGTGGGGGTGGGTATTCTGTTTGTAATAACTGTTTGGATACACACTCTATTTTTAATATGCTAGTTGTGATTATTTCATGCCAAGTTAAAATGTCCATAGTCATATTTTATGTTCCTAAAGTAACAGAATGACTGTCAATCTAGAAAACAAAACAAAAAAGTGATAATGTAGCAGTTTTTTCAATTTTTCCAAAAATTTCCTTTTTTCCAAAAAACAAAGCAAAAAACCCAGGTTTTTTTCTGAGCTTCAAAATTTCTGGAAATTTTACTTCTCTGGGCAAGATCATGGAGAAAAAAAATCCATCAGTGGTTATCTGAGGCAGCAGTCCCCTACATCCCGGTGCCAGAAGCAGCTTTGGCATTCAGACCTCGCGGACGGCCTTCAGAGGCACCTGGCTAGCCACTCAGTTGGGACCAGGGTGGGCAATGGACTTCCTTCTGGAGAACTTCCTTCATGACTTCTGTAGGATGTTGCAGGGTCTACATACCAACTGAAAATTCACTTACTTCAAATAAGCCCCACAGAAATCCAACAACTCCATGTGCAGAGAAAACCTTATTTTACCAGCAATGCTCCCTCTAAGCTGTGGAGTCTTGTGAGCAAAATCTCTACTTTGTGAGCTCCTGGCATTAAAGTTGTGAGCAACTGGGCTACTGCAAAGATCAGTCTGGCCTGGAGCCATCGTTCCTGAGCTAAGACCAAAATGGGTGAGCTGGAGGCTAAAAAACCTATGAGCCTGCTCACACTCACTCAGCTTAGGGGAAACACTGCTTACCAGTCCCTACCGCATGCCTGAGACATGCCCCCGTGCACTCACCTGTCCCTCAAAGTCAATCCAAGCGTATTTGGAAACCGACGGTGAAGAAATACTGTCACACTGCGAAAGAGGAAGAAAAAGAGAGCTTCAGCTGGCGAGTTAGGGTGGCCATCCCGTATTCCTGCCCCGGCCGAGTCAGGAGCTGCCGGAGAGGCCATCTAGTCTGACCTCCCACCAATGCTCCCTCTAAGCTGTGGAGTCTTGTGAGCAAACATTCTACTTTGTGAGCTACAGGCATTGAAGTTGTGAGCGAGGGATTCGGCTCCTGCATGAATTAGTTCACTCTGGAGCCCCTCCTTCCTGAGCTAAGACAAAACTGCATGAGCTGGAGACTAAAAAAACTGTGAGCTAGCTCACACTCACTCAGCTTGGAACGGTGCCTCCCGCTCCATGCAGGGGGCAGCGCTGGAGGGGGGGCAGCGCTGGAGGGCCGCCAGCAAAGGAGAGCCTGCCGCCCACCCCAGGGGCAGCAGATTCCACAGGGAAACTCGGGAGGTTCCTTCTCCTCCTCTTCAACCCAGTCCTCCTGCTGCCGACCCAAACCCCTTTTGCCCGTCTCTCGCCTTTGGCGGTGTGTGCCCCAGGGCATGGGGTTCTGCCTTCCTCCAGGGGACAAGCGCCCCCCCCCCCGGCCCAGCCTTCCCTCTCCAAACAAGTGTTCCCTCTAAGCCGAGTTAGTGTGAGCTGGCTCACAGTTCTTTCGCCTCCATAGCACACATTTTTGTCTCAGCTCGGGAAGGAGGGCTCCAGAAGAGGAAACTGATTGATGCAGCAGCCCAATGGCTCGCTGACAGCTTCAATGCCAGTAGCTCACAAAGTAGGATTTTTTGCTCACAAGACCCTACAGCTCAGAGGAAGCATTGTAATCAGTGTTCCCTCTAAGCTGAGTGAGTGTGAACCTGCTCACGGCTTTTTTAGCCTCCGGCTCACCCATTTTTTTCTTAGCTCAGGAAGGGATGGGGCTCCAGGCCAAACTGATTTCTGCAGCAGCCAAACGGCTCGCTCACAGCTTCAATGCCAGCAGCTCACAAAGTGGGATTTTTGCTCACAAAACTCTCCACAGCTCAGAGGGAGCACTGTAATAAGTGTTCCCTCTAAGCTGAGTGAGTGTGAACCTGCTCATGGCTTTTTTAGCCTCTGGCTCACACATTTTTGTCGTGGCTCAGGAAGGGATGGGGCTCCAGGCCAAACTGACTGATGCAGAGGCCCAATGGCTCGCTCACAGCTTCAATGCCAGCAGTTCAAAAAGTAGAATTTTTTGCTCACGAGACTCTCCACAGCTCAGAGGGGGAACAATGAAACCCACCCGAGTCCCCCCTGTTTCCAAGCGCCCTTCCTCCCCCGGGGCAGCCGATGCCACAGGGAAACTTGGGAGGTTCCTGCCTCCTCCTCTTCAACCCAACCCCCTTTTGGCCTTCTCTCGCCTTTGGCGGTGTGTGCCCCAGGGTATGGGGTTCTGCCTTCCTCCAGGGGACAAGCCCCCCCCCCCCGGCCCAGCCTTCCCCTCCAGTTTGGTGTAGTCGGTTAAGTGCCACTGGACTCTAATCTGGGGGAACCGGGCTTGATCCCCCACTTGCAGCTGCTGGATGACCTTGGGCAAGCCCTAGTTCTGACAAGAGCTGTTCTCTCAAGGGCAGTTTCTGTCAGAGCTCTCTCAGCCTCACAGGGTGTCTGTCTGTTGTGGGGAGGGGGAGGGAAAGGAGTTTGTCAGCAGATGAGACTCCCTTGGGTGGTGAAGGGCCGTGGGGTATAGATCCAATCTCCTCCTCCTCCTCTTCTTCCTCCAGAAAGCCAGTTTGGTGTGGTGGTTAAAGTGTGCGGACTCTAATCTGGGAGAGCCGAGTTTGATTCCCCCGCTCCTCCTCCACTTGCACCTGGCTGGGTGACTGTGGGCCAGTCACAAGTTCCCTCAGAGCTGTCCTCGCGAAAGAGCCGTTTCTGTCCAGAGCTCTCTCAGCCCCACCCACCTGTGGGGGGAGGGGGGGAGGGGGGGGAGCCTGCGAGCCGCTCTGAGTCCCCCCTGGGCGGAGAGGGGCCGCGGGGTGCGGATCCCCACCGTCTCCTCCCCCTCCCCCTCCCCCTGGGCCCCCTCTGAGCCGCGGGGAGCCTCGGGAGCAGCAAAGGTCCTGCCCGGGGGCGGGCGGTCCGGCTCCTGCGTGGATTCCGCCTGCCTCCGGAGCCACGGGCCTAACCCGGCAGAAAGGGGTGAGCCGGAGGCTGGAGAACGGCGAGCCGGCTCACACTCACTCCGCTCAGAGGGAACACGGCCCCCCCTTTCTCCCCCTCTTCCGGAGCCACGGGCCTAACCCGGCAGAAAGGGGTGAGCCGGAGGCTGGAGAACGGCGAGCCGGCTCACACTCACTCCGCTCAGAGGGAACACGGCCCCCCCTTTCTCCCCCTCCCCTCCCCCCCCCACGTCCCAGG